GCAGCAAAAATGTGACATATGGCTGTTCTTGGGTGTGTTGGCAAGTAATGAGATTCCTTAGTGTAGTGGATGAGCAGCCAGGAAATCAATTCAACAATGTGTGGTTTATCACTGGCTGTTCCACTGCTTGGGCAAGGAACTAGTGGTTGCCAGTCTCAAGTGTGACCACAAGGTCTTTGCCATGGCCTGCTCTGCTACTACACAGGCTAAGGGTGCAATTTGGCACTGATGCACTTGAATTGAATGTTACTCAACTGCTTCCCAAGCTCAAGCACACTGTGTTGATATATGACTGAGTGGACATACTGGTCAACAACACAGGTTACGTGCTGCAGGGTGCCATTGAAGCCACTACAAGTCTGGAAGAGACTCTGGCTCAGTGCAACTGTGTCAACCTCCTCAATGTCACCCAGGCTTTCCTACTGTACATGTGTGAACTGAGTACAACATAAAAATAACAAACCCCAGGGTTTGGGTTGGCCACAGTCATTTTCACAAATACTCTGGCCTATGAAGAAGAAGGTGGAGGAGTTGACGACGTTGAAGATGATGACGGCAAAGACGAAGACGTTGAGGGCGTGGAGGTGATCAGGAAGAGGAAGAGGGCATTGATGCTTTCCTCGTTGTGGACGGCGCGGTGCAGATAGCCCGGGGTGATGCGTGTTCCGCCATTCTCGCGCATCACCTTGTCCGCCAGCACCAGCAGTTCCCGCACCAGAAACTCTGCTCGCGCGCGTGCGGGGTGCGTTGTGTGCAGGGTGGTGAGTGCGCCACTCACTCGATGGCCAGCAGGAGAGAGAACTGCGTACGCAACACCGCGGCGAGGAAGACTGCAGCGCCTGGACAGTCAACGTAGATCAGTGCGTTGCGTCGCGTTGAGGTGAGTGGGGAGATGGGGATTGTGTGTACCGGTGTGGGTGGTCATCCCTTGGGCGCGGATGTACCGTTCCAGCTGCCTCGGGGAGAAGTGAAGTGGCTCGTCTCTCGCCGGCGGAGAGTCGACAGACACCTCCACCGGCGGCGGCACAACGCCGCCATCTGCGTTCGATGCGCGTACAGCTTGACGACCGCCTGTTCGCTTGGTCGACGGCGCGCTGTGCACGGAGCGATGGTTACACGCAAGAGAGTTTTGAGTTGCCTTGCGTCTATGCGGACGGACAACACGTACGGTGGCCAGAGAACCGGTCAAACAAGTGCTCACCGCCTCCTGGAGCTGTGACCGAGCCAGCACCTTGCTGGGGAAAGCCGCCTCTCTTGCTTTCTGTTGGTTGGTTGCTCGAAAACAGTTTAAAATGGCATTAAACGCAGGCCAGGGCAGCAGGCAAGAGAAAGGGGGGGGGGCGAAGCCGGGTACCTGTACGAGGCGAGTGCAGATCTCCAGGGCGAAGGTGTCCAGTACCGTAATGGCCTTGTTGGAGATGCGGGAGTCCTTGCCCAGCGCAGACTGCATCACCAGCCAAATGGGCGTCTTGAACTGGAGCCTTCCGGAGGGCACCGGTTGGGGTCTCGCCAGACGAGGCCTCTTATGTGTGCTCTTCATTGTTCGTGGGTTGTGTGGCGTTTGGTACCACTCCCTCGGTTATACAAAAGAAAGAAAACTAATTTCATTTTTCCTTCTTCATTCTTGTGTGCACAATGGCGGAGAGTGAGTCCTACGCAGTCACAACTCGGCGACTACGCAAGCTCTTTGCCATCCTGGACGACGACGAAAATGGCAAACTTGATGTTCGTCTTACTGGCTGCCCACTTCACTCTTGCCCTTGGCGACTGGGTGTTGACCAGTGGCGTTCAGGCAGAAGAGCTGAAGGTGATCCTGAACGAGCAGAGCGGCCACAACTTCTCTGACACTCAGATGCGCGGTAAGTAACCCCCCCTATACGTCGGGGGGGCAAACGCCTTCGCTCTTTGTCGCCTACGCGCTTTGGTGGAACTTATTTTCTGGTTTTGCCAGTCTTGGTCCAGTCTGTGAGCAGCACAGGCAAGTACAAGAAGCTCAAGTTCGACGAGTTCCTGGAGCTTATTGCCTACACGCACAAGGTAGGCACTTGATTCTTGCATGACCAACAGCCACTGCAGCTTGGTCACCACTGGTGCAGGTCAAGCGTATCTCAGCAAGTTTGACTCTGACGATAGCGGACACATTGACCACGCGGTTCTTTGCCCATCAAACTATGTTGTTGTCTCGCGCCTTTGCTTCGTTCATCTAAGCTCTGGATAACAGGAGCTGGAGGAAGCTCTCAGTGCGGTTGGCCACAAGTTCAGCCGTGATCAGATCAAGCTGTTCCTCCACATGGTCCGTCCTGTTCCATCCTTGTTCGTGCGCGTGGTCAATCGTAACTCAAGCCGGCTCCCCACTTTCGTTTGCCAGGTTGACGAGGACGACTCTGGATCGATTGGGTGCGTTTGCGTCGAGCTGGCGTTGTTGCTTAATTTGATGCGCGCTGCCGCTTTCTCTCATCTTGCTCTCTGTCCACTTCAGGTACGAGGAATTCTTTCAGCTGGAGTTCTTCCTCAAGCGGGCCGAGACCATCTTTGAGGCCGCCGACGATGGTATGGCGCGCATCTCGGCTTCCTCCCTAAACCCAAGGGTCCAACGTGTGCCTAACGAACTGATCGACCGCGCCCACCACGCCCACCCAAAGACGGATCTGGCGAGCTCTCGTTTTCCGAACTCAAGGAACTCCTGCCCGTCGTGGACGTCGAAGCCAAGAATGACTCCGAGGTGCGGTTCCCCTCTCGAGCGCTCGAGTTGGTGGCGCCTCCCGATTGCCTCACGCGCGCGCGTGTGCACAAACGTTTCTGTTGGCGATGCAGGTGAGGCGCATGATGAAGGCATTGGACAACGACGGCTCGGGCAAGCTCTCCTTCGAGGAGTTTGTCAACCTGCTCTTCTGTCTCATGTACGACATCGAGCCCTGAAGAACAGGGAAGAGCCGGGGCTGTGAAGTGTCGATCTGTTTTAATATATTGCCGACCGTCGACAGGGGTGGCCAACAGAAAGTCGACAACTCGAGTGGGTTGTACTTTGCCGCTGGTTGCACACCCCGGAGACGAAGAGAAGAAGATTTGATTTGGACTGAACCAACGGAAAGGAAGAAAGAACTGAACAACAGATGGAAAGGATGAGGCCCGTGCTGGCACGGGAGCTGAAGACGGAAATGAAGTCGGAGGTCCACCGGCGAAAGATGTTGGAGGGCAAGAGCCTGTCGCTGGTCTTCGTCAGCGGCTTCTACGGGGCGGGCAAGACCGCCGTTATCAAACAAGCCCTCGGTGATGTGCGCAACCAGAGCGTGCGCACCCTGGTCCTCGTCAACTCCTCCCACCAACGTACCCCTCCCCCCTTCACTTGAGTTAGCCATTGTTGTCTCCTTTTATTTCGCTTTCGCTTTGTGGCTTCGGCTTCGTTCTTTTTTGTTATTCTCTGATAATTATTACCATAATGATTACCAATATTATTTAATATTTGCATTTGATTTGTTAATCTCTGAGCAAAAGTAAAAGAATGATAATGAGGTTTAGTTTTGTGTGTTTCTCGTAAGGGAGCACTAACGCGACGGTACATGTGGCGGCACGCACAGAGAGCGCGGACATAGACGTTTATGTGCTGCAGAGCGAGTGTGCAGCGAGGGGGCTGGCCAACGTCACTGTACGTCACGATTCTCAAAGCGCACTAGTTGATAACACTCGGTCTCACACACGTAATGTAATACCACATCACTACCAGGTGAGGTCTTTCATCACTCCAGTTCCATTATCGGACCCTCGTGGATTCCCCCTCCTGGCCAAGGCACCCTTTCTTCTCTCGTCTCGCCTGCTTGCGAGAAACAATGAAACTGTTGGACGACGCAAGGTTGGTCGTTACTCACACATTTGCGTTGTTTGTCGTGTTCGTTTTCGTGTTTCTTCCCTGAGCACAGGAGGTGAGCGAGCTGGCCGCCAGTGCCCTGTACGATTACCTGATCGTCGAGACCGCAGGCGAAACGGATCCCATTGCCCTGGCGCAGGCGTTTGAGGCTCCCCAGGCGGCCGCCAACAGCCAAAAGCTGTCTGACCTCGCACGAGTGCGTTGTTTCTCTTTCATTACTGCTCTCTTCACTGGCACATACGGCTTCGCACTGACATCGAGCAATTAATTGGGTGGTAATTGGGCTACACAGCTAGACGCGTTGGTCACGGTCGTGTCCTGCACAGGGTTCTTTGACGCCTACGAAGCCTCGGACCCCGCATTGAGGTGATCATCTCGCCTCCTCGCTCTGCGCTTGGGACGCGGCTTCATTATATTATTTATTATTAATTTATTTAACTTTTATTGCTTGTATGTGATAGGGAGCTGCATCGTCAGCAGCTCTCCTTCGCGGACCTGATCGTCCTCAGCAAACCCGACGGTCTCGGCCTGAACCAGAATACCATCAGTGGTGAGTTGGACCCCAGAGCCAGATTTCCCAAGCTTGAACTGACCAACTGATCGACTCTCTCTCTCTCTCTGATCAGAAATCGAAAAGGAGATCAAGGAGAAGGCGAATAAGAGCGCGCGGGTCATTGTGGCAAAGCACGGCAGCCTTGGCGAGGAACATAACATACTATTCACGGGCCTCTACTCGGTGAAGAAGGCGGCTAAGCACGACGCGTGGGAGACACAGCGTAGCCCGCTTCAGCCAGGTACATGCACATTAGGACCGCCACACAGGCTATGATACTATTACCACTGAGAGCGCTGATCTGGCCTGCCTTGCCTTGTCGCCTTTTATCATTATAGTGTGCACGCACATGTGGAGTTTCTTCACTCAAACCCCGTTCCACGCTACTCGACTCCGAAAGATTTTGTACAGTAGAGCCGGGGAGTTGGTATCCAACACTCGCATCAAGGTACGCACCACATCTGTCCAGCATCCCGTTTCTGCCAAATGCGCGCGTGTCGCATGTTGCGCGGATCGTCCATAAACGTTGACAAACGCCGCGTCACCACTATGCAGGGACTGCTGTGGATTGCGGCGCCCGGAAAATACAACCGATTTGGCCTGTGGTCTCACACGCCTGTGGATAGCGGCACGCCCGTTGCTGGTACGCTTTCTCTGTTGTATGATGACACTCTCACAATTCAATTCCAATTCCAATAACTAATCTCTGCACTACAGCCGGCACGAATTGGATCGCCGATGTCGCGCCCAGCCAATGGACCGACCAGGAGAAGCAGGCAGTCGGTGCGGCAACACATCTTCCCGCCACCACAGTTGCATTTGCTTGAAGGGCTCACAATTCGTTGCCACACGAAACGTTAGAGTCGTGGAGCAGCGAGGTGGGCGATCGGCAGCAGCTGATCGCGTTCATGAGCGACAAGCCCATCAACGAGGTCATGCTCAAGCGGCTGCTCGAGGCCTGCCTCGTGAAGCCCACCGACGGCGTCCGCATGGAGCTCACCGCCATCTCCCGGAACGACGACCAAGGTACGGGGCGCGCCCCCTCACTATCCCTCGCTCGGCGATTGTTTGCGGTCAATTTTTCATGCTCACTCTGCGGTTGGCGGGGCGCACCACAGCTGCCATCCGCATCGACTTCCCTGCGGGCTACGTCGACGAGTTCGAGTCGTGGCCACCCGTGCGCCCGCGAAAACCGCTCCACCTCAAGGAACTCAATTCGCTGGACGTCTTTGTGAAATCACTCAATGAGGTACCGTGTCGGTTCCCTGTGTTGCAATTGCCCTGTTGCTCTCAGTGACTGACCGTGCTCTCGCACTTGCACTTGGCTTTCGGCTGTAGACGTTGACGAACCTCAAAAACATGCTCTCTGGCTTGGCTCTGCGAGCGCTCGATGCCATCGGCAAACCGCAAGACGGTACGAGTTTCATGATTTTAACTCCGAGCAGCGGTTGGATACCTAAAGCTTTGCCCCGTGTGACATGTGCAGAGGAGCGAGTGCGTCAGGAGATGCGAGGCGGAGCTATGGAGACCTACAAGTTGGTCGTGGTCGTGGTGAAGCCTTTCGTGGATGCCAACATGTGGCGGAAGGGCCTGGCACAGCGTTTGAGCAACCTCGAGGAGAGGACGCAAGAGGTACAGACCCTCGCCACCGTCATTGCGATAGGGTGCTTACATAAGAGCTCGCAATGTGTCGTGTGGGGTGTTACACAGACTCAGAAAGCCATCCTGGTGGTAGTACGGAACACCAAGGCTCTGCTTGCGCACGAGATCACCGAAAGCGAGTACCGGGAGACCGCCAAGGAGGTGGCCGAGATGATGCAGAAGAGCATGACCGGGCTCGTCTCGCTGGCGGTGCAATTGTACAAGGCCATCCGAATCGCCGAGGAGAAGAGAAAAGAGACCGAGGTACTAGCACACGACACACGACACACGACACAAAAAGGTCGAATGATGTTCTGACACGTCGCATGTGATCGCAGGCCAAGGTCACGATGAGTGTGAGCACCCTGGCGTCTTCGTTGGACACTGTCGAGGTGGCCGTCGACATGGGCGACAAGTTCGTCTTCGACGAAGCCACCAAGGAGTGCGTCGCATCGGCGACGCATCTGTCCGTCGAGGCCGGCAAGTACGTAACCTCAACTCTGTAACTAGACTTGGATCGTTCTCTGCGGCAAATTTTAACTCCGAAACGCGAGCGCAGGCTGCAGCTGCTGGAGCATCAGCTGTCGCTGCAGGAGCTTCTGCTCGACTTCGTGCAGAAGGGCAAGGAGCTCGATTTCAGCCCGCCCGCTCCGCCGCCCCCGCCCGGCCAAGATTTCTACGCCGACCTCAACCTCGACGCGGCCAAGCGCACCGACGACGAGCTCAAGGTACGCTCCTGTCTTGCTGCAATCCGCGGGTGGGGTCACAGCTGAAGGCATGCAATGATACAGGACTCGCAAGACAAGCACAAGACCAAGTCATTCTTCACGCTGCGCGGCAGCAAGGACAACGTGAGCACGGAGCCGTCGACGATGCGCCAGGCCAAGGTGTCGCGCTGGAAGACGGCCCGCAAGAAGCTGAACGAGGCCGCGAAGCACTCGGTCGATGCCATCTACCAAAAGCTCAAGAGCGAGGAGGTATGGCGATGTTCGTGTGCCTCACACAAGTACGCGCTTTGCCTGATGGTTCTTCCATTCGGTAACAACAGGTTCTTGATTACTCGGTTGAGGGCAGCACGGCTGACCTGAACGTGGCGCGCGACGACGTCGAAGAGGGTACGCGCCGCATAAACTAACACGGCGCCTGCTTTACTAATACATATACGTCGTAATTGCCACTCAACCAGATGCGGTGCCTCGCGCCCGGAGCCAGCCCGTCGCGCGATTCAGTGATAGAATGGAACACGTAATCATGGAGCTTCAGGTATAGCCCTCATACAGCGTCGACACTGGCGTTGAGTTTGCTGCGCTTCTTGTTTCGACTCACGCGCCATTCTTCACTTTGAACTGTAGCGCGCGGTCCTCGCGTTCATTCCGGCTGCGCAGAACTACGCGCTCAGTGCGTCGGCAGATAAGGCAGCACTGTTTGCGCAGTCCAAGACCGACCTGTTTTCATGGGTCAAGTCGGCCACCGTGATGACGATTGGCGTACGTTCACATTCTTCGCACGAACCACGGCTCACTGATTACCTCAACTCATTGCGCGGCTGGGCTCTCAGACTCTGATTCGTGCGGAGGACCTCGACTTTCCGGGCACCACGCTCACGCCCGACGCCATGGGCAAGATTCTGGGCACGGCCATCGCTGCTCTCGACAAGTATTCCAAGTATGCGATACCACACACACCGCACACGACACGACACGCACACGCACACAACACGACACACGCACGACACGCACGCACACGATTCTCATTCACCTTCGCAACAGTACGAGAGGCCAGGTGAACGAGAGTGCCATCACAGCGGCTCGCGAGGCGGGCGGCACTCAAGCCCTTCAGGTCGAAGAGCTGCTCTGGGAGCAGATTGCGGACGAGTCGAGTAAGACGTCAACCATCATCTTGCAGATGCTGTCGGCGCTCAAGGTGATCAAGGTGGCATCAACCCCAGAACAAGGTGCGTTCGCCACTCAACATATCGCAATGCAACGCAACGCAACGTTTGCGCTTATTGCTCACTCTTTCTGTCGCGTCCAGCCACGGTTCTTTACTTGCCGGCGACGGTGGTCACACTGTGCAGCACCATCCAGCGCCTGCAGGACCTTGTCGAAACCGCCGCGCTTCTATCGCTCCGCTCCAAGTGGGCCGACGCTCAGGCACGCACACGAACACGCACCGCCGCACACGCCCATGCGCACCCACCACCTCACATGTACATGACGCTAACTCAAACCTGTGCGTGCAGGAGGGCGGACACTTCGGTCGCGTGAGGCGCAGCATTATGGATGGTAAGGACAAGG